CGTTACTGCCCATCTCTGATCCCTGAATGTTTCACTACTCGAATGTTCATTTCACCACTCGCACACGATTTTGAACCAGCAAACAGTCACAATGATAACATGAAGCTAGTTAGACTCAGTGATTTTTTTCACACTCCTGTCTGTAACATATTTCTGGGCATCAAGAACGAGAGAGATGCGGATATGCAGCACTGATGATGATGATAAGCTGACTTTGAAGCCATGAGGTCATGTGTTTGTTTTGTTTGTTAGCGTGATGAGTCGCCGGAGCAGCTTCCCAACACCACTGCTAAATCTTCCCTTATCACCTCTGCTTGCAGCCATAATGACCTAGTCAAATGAACACACTAATAGAATAAAACAGTTGTTTGACTGCCTGCATGCCTGCTTGCTTAGCTGCCTGCGTTGTCACACACACAAACACACACACACACACACACACACAGAGCAAGTTGCAGACTCTCTGGCTCCAAACTGCAAGATCTCGCTGATTGCAGAAAATACAACAGACAGAAAGGAGAAAGATTAAGATGCAGCATCGGCCTGTGTGGATTTGGTTTGACAGGCATGAAGATTGTGTTGTACTTACAAGTTCCTGTGTGTGTGACTCAAAAGCAGCTGATCTACAGGGTTAACACAGATTCATTTAGGTTGGCTGTAGGACGGATACGTGAGTGATATATGTGAAAATGGCAACATGTTTTAATATTTTCATTTGCAGTAGAGCTGCAGTATTTTCACGATTATATTTTGTTTTTAAAATGTAAATATTAAATGAGAAAAGATAATATAATACACAGATTTGACACAACGAAGCATTCGTACATAATTATACTGAAAGAACAAAGGTGGACTGTGCTTTAAATTGGCTCGTGTGTTTCCCTAATCCCAAATATTGTGCATCTGCTGATGCAAGTCTGATTCAATGTTTCTTTTTATGACATCTTATTACATTACAGAAATAAATACAGCTTTAAAATGTCACGATGGGGCCGGATCCCCATTGTGCTTATCAGCTCAGGACATCTCCAAATTACATTACACAACTGGCACAGCTGTTATTGTTCTATCTTCTAATCTATTTGGTAATCAAGCGAATCTTAACTCCGCGTTTTTCTACGTGTTTGTTTGCAGGGCCATTTGATGGACGTGGCGTAACCCTGCTGGAGGTATGCGGGAGCTGGCCAGAGAGCTTTGGCGTGCCACGGCACAATGTTGGCTCAGCAGATGCGAGCGACGAAGGCCTGCGAGAGAGACTGGCTGACGCCATGTCCGAGTCCCCCTCTAGGGATATCGTAGGCTCTGCCACAGGTAAGCGAAGGATGAACAACACACAAAAACACAGCTGCACACACAGGATGGTGTATCAGCATTAATTTGTTTTCTGTTTTCTCAGAAGAACAATGTGTTACTGCTGTCCATTTAACATAAACGGGAATTATTTATATTGTTTGAAAATAAAAAGGTAAAACTCAGAATAAAAGCAGGATTATGACATTTAGTGAGCCTACCAGTCAGAACAGCTGAGGAAGTGATGCTTAAATAGCTGGAACCAGTTATCCTCATCATGCCTGACTAACACTAAGAAAAGTTCACAGTGTTTTAAGTGTGTCCTAAAACACTAAGATCTCATCTCAAATAGTCATTTTCCTGTTTCTGTAGGGTTTTTTTAGTGTTATTTTGTATCTTGTTAGCAGAATGTAAAATAAACTTTCTTAGAATATTTCTAAAAATCAGCAGTCTGAGTTTAAAACAGTCAAAATGCAGTAAACACACTGTGATGAGCAGGCAAAAATTGACATATTTCTTATCACTGAAACACATCGTTGTGAATCACTGAGATTCTTTATGATTCTGAGAGTTGCAATTTTACATGATTTTGTAGAAATCCATATTTGCGCGCACAAAAAATGATCATCTGGGTGTTTTCCTTTCTTTTGTTTTGCTCATAGGTATTTACCTCATTAGAGATGTTTTCAGTGCAGCTAAGTGTTTGTTATGTAGCCTGACTTCCAGCATACAGTGCTTCTCAGGTCAAGGTCCAGAAATTGATTACCTCAAAGCTTGTAGGATGTTCTGCTTGTCTCAATGTGTACGAGGTTACGGCATATCAGCACACGACCAGCTTTAGTTTGTGGCTTCCTGTGTGTGTGTGTGTGTGTGTGTGTGTGTGTGCGCAGCAGACATGCTGTTGGCCCTGACAGTCCAAATGGTTAACTCATTTAGGAAGCGACAGCATGCTCAACCCCCCCACACACACACACCCCCACCCACCCTTTAAGTGAACAAGAGCTCCTTTGACTTAAATGTGTGTGGGGGGGAGGGGGTGCAGAGGGTTTTGGGGTAAGGGAGTGCGATGGTCACAAGGCCCTAATGGATTTAGCATCGACTATCAACCCCCAGCCCACCCCTCCCAAACATCCCTGGCCATATCCAACCAAGTCCACCCCCGTCCTCCCACTCCGCTCAGACTTAACCTCATTTGTAGCATCTCTCTCTCTCTCTCTCTCTCTCTCTCTCTCATCACTCTTTTTTACTGACCCCACCTCCACTACCACCACTCTCCCCCATCTCCCTCTCTGAGTCTCTTCATTAGATTAGATGCTGGAGACTCGTGGACACTACTAGTCAGTCGCTTCGCGTTCCCCCTGGTATTCTCTCCCGACCACCTCTGTTCCCCTCCACTCCCCCTAATGCAACACAAAATTCATTACTGATCACATTACATCAAAATACGCCCGCGACGTATACACACACTCTTCCTGCGCCTTCGGCCACGATGAAGACATCATCCACAGGGAATGCGATGGACTTGCTGGTTCCTCCATCCGTCCATTCATAGAGACGGAGAGGCTTCAGACTCTGTAGGCTAATCTAATAGCACAGCACTTCTACATTGTAACATATGGGAAATGTTCTTGTTTGTACTATAAGGAGGAGAGAGCCCGGGATGGCCACAAGTTGTGGTTTCACTGGAAAGAAAAAGGAACCTGGCTCTGCCATCCGTCTTGGTTAGTGTGCAGTGTGTTTGATAACCTGTTTATTGAACAAGTGGTCGGTATTGACACAAGCTATACATGAAAAGCTTAAAGGAATAGTTCACCATGGTTCCAAAAGCAACATTCACTATTTTCTGACTTTTTTTTCATCTATCTTTGATTTTAACCCACAGAGGTTTAGAATCGTTTTTAATATTTTTTCTATTATTCTTAAAGATTTTTTTAATGAGCACTTTTTATTGAAACTCTTGTACTGAAGAAGATATATTTGTTCCTTTGAAATCTGCCCCGTCACTGACTCTGAAAGCTCATTATGACCTTTTTTATGCCACGCCCACACTGTAGTTACAGGCATTTATATACCGATGTGAAAAGCAACCAGAATTGTAACTAAAATGTAATTTTAGAATGTAAATTCTTTTAATTGTTGCCATTGTTTAAAGTAGCTCGTGAATATTGTCTAATGTTCTTTTGTTGGGAAAGTTCACAATAATCAGACAAGAAGGTGAAAAAAGTTTTATTTTGCCTGTACAGACTGTAGAAGTCAGCTTCCATATCAGCTGCATGAATATTATTCCCGAGTATAATTTAAAACAAAACAAACAGCAGGTATATAAACCTATATGTGTGCCTGACACCACGACTTCTCAATGATCACATATTAATTCAAGACGAGCTCACTATAGTGAGACCACCAGCTCTGCCTTTTTTTATTCTTTGTGATATTGTTTCAAGAAATGTTAAAAAGCGCTCTTAGCCCTGATTTAGAAGATCTGAGTCCTGTGCTTGTCCATGTCGATTGTGTGTCTATAGTGTGTGTGGGGGGGTGCACGTGCATGTGTGTCAGTCTGAGGGTTAGATGAGCAGCAGCAGATGGTATCTTGCACAGAGAATCCATTAACTTGGGACCTGTGGCCCCAGTGCTTAGACACCGAGTGGCTAACACAGACCTTGAACATGAGTGCAAACACACTGTCACCTCACCTGCACGTGTGGCACATGTTTCTGCACAATTGCTGAGTGAAATTTTTACAAACTTTTCCATCCTGTATGCACAACCAGTCAACACATTATGTGTTATTATTTATGCTCCCCACTGATATTTATTACAGTTTTGTTCCTTTGAAAACTGTTTGCTCCCTGATAATCTACTGAAGTATATTTGGATCAGTATACGGTGGTGTTTCCTTTCTACGTGTCTCCTCACACACACACACACACACACACACTCAGAGGGTCTCGGGCTGGAATGCTTGCTGATGTAACAAATCACCATCTCTCGGACATTCTTCTCGAGAACACACAAAGACAAACACACACATACACTTTCGCAGATTCACAGGGAAAACAAAGCCTCCAGTCAGTGTAATAGGGCTCTCACGCTAATGCCGAGACCCAGCGTCGCCAGCTCAGAGGGCAGGTGACACTCACACAGAGAGATGGACGGATGGACAGAGGGAGAGAGAGAAGAGAAGATGAAGAAGAGGAGGGGAGAGAGTCACTGACGACTAAAACACACTGGGACTGAAATTAGATTTGGCTCCAATGATATAATGTTGCTAATTAGATTTGTCTTATTGGTGCCTGCCCAACATAAATTCCATTGAAGCCATATGGACAGTGGACTACTGCTAAACACAACCTGGTGTATCTCAGCTGAGAGCAGGAACAATGGCACATACTGTGTTCATTTGCTCACATCGTGTTATTATGTGGTACAAATATTTTTAAGTGGTGGAGTATTTTCATCTCGTCTCCATCTTTGGTGTCCAGTGCTCATAGCTGCTGTTTTCCAAGGAAAGAGATCCCAGTTCCATGTTTACAGCAGGACATCAAAACAGTCCCATAATGAGTTGAATCAGTGAGGTGTCATGTAAACAGCCTTTGACTAGAGCTAAATAAAGGTTAGCATTTCAAATTTGGAGCTGTGACTTGCTTCTGGGCCTTTGTTTTATTACTTCATTTAATATGGGGCCATAAAACGTACATAAAACAACAGGAACTGCTGTGATTACATTTTTGCTTTCATCGTGCCTTTGGTGGATGGGTGTTTCAGGCTCAGTACTAGCGGTTTTGATAAGAACAAATATGAATATAAATGTAGAAATAAAAGCCACATGTACATATAGTGCTCTGTCTCTGCTCTGTTTGGGCAAATATTATTATATTATTATATTTTGAATCAATGCAGGTTAATAGTTTTATTATATTGATTCCCAATCCAGGGGCAGCATTGATTACTTGACCAAACACTTGCAATAACTGCTAACAGGCTTTAAAGAAAGTATATTATTCTGAAGAATGCTCTTATTTTGAAACTCAGCCTGAACTGATGCTCTTTACAATTCAATTGAATTGAAACATTGTACTTCAACAAACCACATCAATTTTCAAACTTTATCACCATCTACATACTTACAAGACTTCATGACAGCTTGTTTACACTCAATTCATAAAAGTACATCCAGTTTTAGCAAAATTTTCTGTCAATTAAAATTCATATAATGCTTGATGTTCAGCTCAAATCAAGCACGTCACTTTCAGCTTTGTTTATCTGGTGCCTGATCTGATGTCAAGACGTTCTCTGAGTGATTAGCACAAAATAGAGCACTAACTCATAATCATCATAGCACAGAGTGGTGTAGCCGATAGCCAAATATCATTGAACATTATTTGTTTTTCATGTTACTTTGCTACAGACTGTGTTGAGTTCACCCTGTTTGATTGATGAGGGAAGGGTCCAGGGGACCACCCACACCCTGCAGGTCAAATGTAACCCTGTTTGTTGGAGCCCAGCTCAAAGAAACTGGGAGTAACAATAATAACAATAATAATAATAATAATAGTAATAATAGCAAAAGTGTCTGAACAGCCCAGAACCCAGCTGGCTCTTTCAAAGCCCGACTCAACACAAATATTTAGGGGAGCCTTATCAACACAAAAAGGCTGAGTGCACTTCCTTATGTGTGTGTGTGTGTGTGTGTGTGTGTGTGTGTTTCTGTGTAAATGGTTGAGTGTTGGTGTATGCATGAATTTTAACTACCCTTTCCACATGTTCATTTTTAAGTGGTATGTGCGAATGTACACATACGAATGTGTGCGTATGTGTATACTAAATGTATATACAAGTAGGTTAGTGAGTGTGTGCCTTTACTTTTTTTAGTTATAATGTTCACATACATGCATTAGCAGAAAAAGTCTATAATTGTCTCTGTAGTGTATGCACATGTTTGCAATTACTTGAATTTGCATGTACACATGTGTGCATTCTATATGTTTTTGCACGTGTGTGTGTGTGTGTGTGTGTGTGTG